TAATCATTAGAAATTGTTTAATTTGCAGTACAAGTTCTGATTTTCCAAATTCCATCTGCGAATACACACTTGTGGACCTGTACACTCCTTCATTCCAGCCCCACCTTGGACACAGCAAGCTTTTTTTTATTATTTTCATTTATGACAAACTCCAACAGTTATTTCAGGTCAGTGGATCTTGTTATATAAATTAGAAATTAAATGTCTTGAGCCAGGAAAATTTACAGGCTATGGAGTATTTAAATGACAAAAGACAAAGATTGCCTGGAAAAAATCAGTTAGCCACATGCATGGGTTAGCTCTTGTGCCTCTCATTGTTGCCTGAAATCTTCATAAGTAACAGATTTTTGTTATAATTTTAAAATTTTAATGTATTGTATATGCATTCTTAAAAAATGCACATTATTTGATATTGCTGATTCGGTCTCAGATGCTTTATTTGGTTTTACATTTTTAGGTTTCAGTCTCTGGTGTAGGAGACCTTACATTATGGGAGTTTTCTGGGCAGGACACCTATTTCCTTGTATATGACCATTTTCTGGGCAGCACAAACTGCTTACATGTTGTGGTGTTCAATCTAGAGGATTCTGCTAGTGTGCAATATCAGCAGTGCTGCTTCTGGCTTTCTTTCTTGCAAGCACGGATACCACCCACAGAACCACTTGGTAATATATTTTATTATATCATCATTTAATCCTTTCCATGATGCAATTGAGATATCTCTAAACAGGTTGCTACTAGGTGTGGGTTCTTGCGCACGCGGGGGGGGATTAATAATTCACTCGCTTTTGTTTTTTAAAGATGAATGATCTAATGATTTATGAATAGCTTTGGTTCCAGTGATTGTTTCTTGTGGGTAACAATTATTTTGAGCTATAACGATGTTGTCTGGTACTGTTAGGTTACTGGCTGCCTATACCACTGCTTGAGATAGCAAGTATTGGCGGTGATTTCAAAGTAACAGTTGTGAAATCACTGTCGTTGATATATCATTCATATCTTTGTAGAATTATTTCAGTTGTATATGGACCACCGATCTCTGCTTTACATATTACTGTTAATTATTTGCAACATCACATTGAATAATGCATGGAGTTCAGGTTTACGCACATTGTGTATATTGCTTTAATAAAGTGGGATGGTTTTTGCAGAGCTATTGACAAGCCACAGAAAAAGAAGATTGCTGCCAAACTTGGTTTGTGCTATAAATTTTGACTACAATTACAATTTATGTATACATTTAATTAATAAGGACTGTAGTAATGTCCAGATGTAAGTCCCTTAGTGTTAATGGTGACTGTAAGAACAAATTTAAGATTCAGGCTTTTCTTCCTCATGTTCTGATTTGCTCATGTAAGTAAAAGTACAAATTTTTAGGTGATCGTGGGGTGGCAAGTAGAGTGGCACAGATTTTGCTGGTGGCAACACACCCCGATACTTCACGCATACCTCGTACACCCCAAGGCAACTATATCTGTTCCCAGACCGAAAGGTTGTTGACACAACTCATTGGCAAGTTTGGGACACGGTTTGAGCTTCATCAGCAAGTACTTATAGTGGATGCTCATGTGTCTAATTCACCAGGCATCAGGGCTATAAAGTCTTATTTAGCAGATGCCAAACAGAAAATTTTACAGGTATGCACTTCAGATGTATCATCTCTCAAAAGATTCGTAGAATAATTTAGTTCAATATTACAGTAGAGTGCTCCATTTTTGATTATTCTTTGGTGAAAAAAGTTTAGAATTGTCCATATTTTTGTTGTCCCAAGGAATAATCTGGTTTTTAAAGTCTTAAGGACTTCACATACATTTTCAATATGGATTGAAAGGTCAGTTTTAGTTGTAGTAGCTTGACAGGCAACTATGCATTTGGTGGAAAGTGTATGTTGTTAAATCAGTTATGCTTGGGAACTAATATAAAAGTTGAATCCTTTTGTTACTTACTCCTTTTTCTTGCAGAACTGTTTATTTTAATTGCTGTACTTGAAAGTGTCTAACCTTTTTTACAGAATATTTAAGGCTTCTTGCAGCCAGATTTTGTAATCTGTTTCAGAACTTATGTTTCCTAAGATGTATAAAACAAATTTAAAAAAATAAATAAATAAGCTTTTACAATCAGTCAGATTCTAGCCACTTACTGGGGAGAAAATTTCATATCAAATATATTCTTCAGAAAAGAGTGGGGGTGAGGTATTGGGAGGGAGGGGGAGGAGAGTGATTGAGGATGTCTAGGTGTGGAGATGTTTTATGAAACATAAATTACTGGAATCTGGATTACTGAGTTATTGGACTTTGCCATTATCTAAATATTCTTAAAACAACGTTTGAAGACCAGATGTCTTCATCTTCAGGTGTAAGGAAGAGGGGAGGGCACCATCTTGAAAGGAGTAATATACATCCTGGATTTAATTGAAAATTTTTGTGATTGTTATCACAAAACAGAAATTCTCTGATTGAAGTTGGTTATACAGTCTCAAAACTCCACTTCACAGCATGTTTGGTATGAATATTTATAACATTCTTCATGTTTCTTAGTATCACTTGAGGAATCAGCCATGGAAGTTGAGTTGGTTGCATTTTTGTGCTGTGTTTTTGAGTTTTGGTGTGAATAAGCTTAGTTCAACCTGAACAGCTGTACATTGGATGCAGGGTGGTGGAGTTGGGCGGGTAAAGCCTCATGGTGCAGGTCACAAGGAATATAATCTTCTAACCGAAGTTGCAGTCACGGACACTGGTGGCCAGTTAAGTAACAAAACACCTGCTTTGTTGCAGTTTGCAGTCATGGTGTGCAATGTGATTGAGGCTTGTTGTGATATGTTCCATTCTAAGAACAACAGATCTTATTTCAGGTGTTCTGGAAATCATGTATTACACAACTGTAATTATTTGTGTAAACTGCACATTACATTTTCTTATTTGAACAAATAAAGTAATAAGTTAAATTGAATTTCCATTTCTATTTGGGATACCTAAGAATAAATGGAAAATTAAAATTGATATTAGTAAAATAGTTAAATAGTCTGTGAAGGTTGAGGTTCCATAATAACTGCGACTGTCTTAAACATCTGAATAACTGGTGATAGATTGTAAACTTTTTTATTAATTTCTTTTCCCTGTAATCATTAAGTAAACCAATAATTGTTAATAATATAATGATACTTAATATTAGATGTAATGCTTTTTCCATATGTATTTATAATTTAAATACAGGTTGCCATCTTTGATAAAAAGTTTAAAAACACTGTGTTTGGTCATTGTTTTGATGTTTGTGTTGGAAAATCCAGGTTTAAGGAAAGAAAAGAAAAACTGAATGTGTGTGTTGAGGTATATTGAGTTTTGTGGAGTATCTGTGAATTTCCAGAACCCTGGAACCCATGTTTCTGAACAGACTGCTGTATTGGCAGTATATTACAGTGTGTTGTCAGTTACATAACAAAACACATTCCATTCAGCACCTATAGTTAAGTGTGCACTTGAGAGGCTTTTTGTGTCACTTGGCTTCAAGGCTGCATTATAATAAAACAAGGCTTTTTCACTTCAACATCATTTTATTGGAATTTTACCAGACTGATGAGAGTTGATGTTTTAACTGTTTTTAAAGTTAGATTGTGTCTGTTGAGGTGACAACATGCAGTGACTGTGTGTTAAAATGCCATTTTTTGTTTAATTATATATTGGAATATTATTTAGTTATTTATATTGGTACTTAACAACATTTTCTGGGGAAACATTTTCTCCAGTTCTAGGCACTGATTCACTGATAAATAGGTCATAGTATTTACTCTGCTTGACAATAAACTGATCAGATTTAACTTGAACCCTCTCTTTTTGGCTATTTTGTGCAACTTTCCATTGAAATCTTCTTATTGTAGTATAATTCTCATCACATAAAACAATTTAAAAATGGAAAAATGCAATGTCATTAAAGTTTTTTTGAAAATGTACAAAGTCCGTGGAGAGTGCATTATTGGGTATGCAGTGTAGGGTGCAATTTTTGTTTTATACTTTTGAATTGTGACCATATTATACTCAATTTGCATTTAAATAGGACAATAATTACAAACTTCAGTAGTATTATTTCAGTAAAGGTCTTTTAAACATGAAATGAACTTACTGTGATGTGGTCTATAACATTGTACTTGTTAGACTGTTTTCTAGGACTCTTAAAATTTTAGGTGTTAATGGGTGTTAAAAGCCTTGAAAGAAACACAAAGATGCCAAGTCTGTATCAGTATGTGTGTGTATGAGAGTATCTGATATTAGTAACAGCAAGAGACAGACAGACAAAGGGATAATTAGTGAACACATACAGTGTTAGTAGTTTGGCACTTGCCGTGTTAAAGCTTCCTGTTTGCACTTTGTTATGTACATCTACCAGCAACACATTTAAGCTACAGTAGTGTCCACTTTAACATGTTCACTGTTGCTATTACACTCACCATTAACACCTACACTTACCTTTCATCAATAAGTAGCAAAATTATGTTTTATGAGCAGTGTCATTTACTGACATATTGTTCTTTCGCCCTGAGTATAATGAAATGATCTATTTGCAACATCTGAAGCACACTTCTTTTATTAATAAATTTCAGAATGCTTTCCTTGTTTGACAACTAAATACTAATTGTAATGTGTTTGTTTTTGATGTACAGAGCCCTTCGCCTCTGGTGTCTTGATCCATGACTCTTCTTAATCTGTGTATTGAATTGACCCCTTTTGTCATTGTTTCCTTATTGGATGGATATTTTGTTCTTCTGTAGATTTTTAGAAACATCAGCCATTTTCTAGAGATGAATGTCTGGAAGATACACCAATCAGTATTTATTATGTGGTAATTCAGTGGAAACTCAGTCATACAATTGATTGCTTTAAATTTTAGTTTATGCTGACTTACTTTTAATTAATTTCTCCTTAAGTTGGGTGGGTTAAGGTTTCTTATTTTTAATTAATCTTTATTTAACAGTTCTTAAACATTGGTGCAAGGCATGTTTTCTGTATTGTAGGAAATTGCCAAGGTACCTTTATAGAAAAATGTTGCTCCTTTTTCTATTATTTACTCGTGTATTCTCTTTTGTATGGCGTCAGTGTGGCATGCAGTATAATCTTAAGACTGACTAATTATTAGTTACATTCTTTTATTACAGAGTGTGCCAAAATGGACAGGTTTTTTAGCAGGAGTTGTGAACTGGTTGCCAATTATACGACGGAATTCAGCAACTTTTCCTGTGGTGCCTTGGTTCACATTTGTTGATTTGGTGCACTGTAATGTGAATCCATTGGCTGGTGAGGAACACATGAAAGAATTGATCCAACAGCTGCAGCTTATGGGAGAGGTGTGTGAGCTTTTTAAGAAATGTTTCCTGTAATGGGTTTAGAATTAAAGTGGGGAAATCTGCTGTTACTATATTGCACAAACTGTAGTCAATAAAAAGTTGTAATATACCTTGTACTTTGACCTGTAGGTGGTGTACCTAAAATCTCAGTACCAAGATCTAGTGTGTATGCAACCTCGCTGGCTATGTAGCAGTGTGATTGGTCAGTTGCTATCCCTGGATTTTGTGGCTCAAGCTAGAGTGACAGGTTGCTATACTGTGGATGACTTTCAAGTATCTTTCTCAGAATGTGATGCCCTTGATATTTTGCAAGTACTGGAAGCCTTGCAGATATGTACTCAGGCAAGTTGTGTATGTAGTATCCTGCATCTTCCCCTTTATTGTAATATCTGTTATAATGTGCTATAATGAGAACTCTTTAGAATTTATTATAGGCTTTGTAATCTTCTCTTGGAAGTTTTATATCAGTTAATTATTGAGGCCACTGTGATTTTATGTCAGATGTATTATGAATACAGCCTACATTACTATGACTGTTTATAACACTTGGAATTGACTGTTGATGTGTTTTTATGTATTAATAATATTAATAAATTATCATAATTCTGCTGTTCAGAATGTTTCATAAGTGTCCTCTGGATTGTATTCTACTGCAGTGTGAGAATGAAGATGAGCTAGAATTTGAGTTTCCATGTTACAACTTTGTGGAAACGCTTGATGGACTCTGGGATGCCTCAGATCCTCGTTACCGCGATCCGGATAGCTGCTATGGTGGAGTGAAGCTGAAGTCGCCTCCAGATACTTTTCATCTTTTACATAGTATTTTTCCACGTATACAGGTTAGACACATCCAGAGATGTAAAATACCTGGGAATTTTTAATTATGGGAAAAGCCATTGTGTGCAGAACCCTAAATATTATAAATAATACCATGGAAACCTTAGGTGGTATGTGTGTGTCTTTAGGATATTTAACCTTTCTTCTTCTTCTTCTCAAGCTCTACAGTCCACTGTGAAGTTTGGCTTCCTGATATTTAACTTTTAGTTTATGTCATTTAGATCTCATTCATGGACATGGGATATCCTGCATTGTAGATAACTAGGATATTTCCAGTCCTGTGTTCTCATTGTTAAAAATTTGCAGGTCCAACTTCGCCGAGCAATGCAAAGCCTTGGTGATCCAGATAGTGATCTTTACCAATGGTTTGAGGGCTCAAAGTTATGTTCAGGTCTTATTGAAAGTCTTATTACACTAGAAGACGATGGAGAAGCCATTGAAATGAAAGTCCGAGGGCCACCCACTTCAGAATTAGCTTGTTTCTATTTCATAGAAGAGCTCCTTGGCATTGTGGATCAGGTATAGCTCTAAAGTATTAAACTCAGTTTTTTAGAATTTGTTTGATTGTTGTTCAGCTGTGTTTGTCAGCAGAGTTCTTGGATATCATCAGATGAGAGTAGTTTTGTTCATGGAAGTGGAACATTTTCAGGTCTTGCTGGAAATGAGTCCAGGTTTACTGATTGAGAAGCATGTGCTGAGTGCAGAGCAACTACGTCTTCACAGTGATTTGGTTCATTGTTGGTCACCTGACAAACTTATGGCTTGCATTTTGCAGCCATCCTGCCTCAATGCGAAGCTGCTCAACCCTCTTACAGGGAATCATGAATCCCTTCTTGATCTGGTTGGATTTGGAGCATCTGAGGTAAAGATGACTAACCTGTTGTGACTCTAATGTCGACCAGTAAGGGTATAACTAACTGGCCCCACTCTTTATCTCTAATGCTTCTGTTCTTTTAATATAGGTGAATGAGGTCATACTGAGTGGAGATGAATTACCTGTCACAGCCTTGTCGACTGTATGTCGGCAACAGTTGTGCAAGCTCTTGGATCCTCCTGATCCGTTGGGGAAAGATTGGTGTCTGCTAGCTGTGCAACTGGGCCTAGGAGACAAAATTGCATTGCTGGATGCAGCTGGAAGCTCTAGTAGTCGAACTGCAAAACTTCTAGATGAATGGGCTAAAGATAAAACTTCAGGAATTGGTAAGCAGATACATGCTACAAGTAACATGAATCAGAGAATAAAATTCAATCGGAACATATATGATTTTCAGGTACAGTAGCAGCGTTGTTTTGATTTTTCTAGCATGTTATGCAAAAAGGAAAATGTATAAGTCTGATTTTGTTATACAGTGCCTTTCATTTCTTTTCTTTCCCTTGTTGCTGCAGTTTGTTTTTTAATTCGTTCCTGTCTATTTTCTTTGTTGGGGTTTGCACCAGTCCTGTTCTACGATGTTCCCAGTCTGCCAACATTCCTAATATTGCTCTGAGGGACTTCATTTCTGTCCAGAGAAGGGTTGCTATATGGAGCAAATAAGAGTTTGGAGTTTTATATGCTTGATCAGAAAGTAAATTGTATAAAAATGTAATGTATCAGACTTCACTGTAATTACACCAGTAATATTTAACTGTTCAAATTGATTTCCTTTCCTATACAGAACTGAAATGCAATGTTGCCATCCTTTGGAGTTGTAATGCCTGTAGTGATACTTAGCCACACATTCAATATAAAAAAGTACTTTCTAAGGCTGTTCATTTAATTTATGGACTGAAGCTGCTACCTCATCAGTTGCTCATGCACTGCCAAAGTTTCAGGAGAGGTCATTTTGTTGAACAACTGGCAACATATTTGAAGAGCTTTTGTGTCATTCTGCTATACCAATTGAGAATTGTGCATTTTCTGAATATATTTTGAAAGTAATTTTATTGTCTTTTCATACTGTTACTTTAGAAATGGATGCCTTGAAAACTGAAGAATTATTAAGCAGTTTTCAAATGGCATAACTAGTTAAGGAGGGGCAACAGATGAATGGTGAGGATAGCCAATACTCTCAACTGACTTTAATTAAATTTGTTGTGTAAACGATGTAATGAATCAAGTTAATCAAATTTCATGCTGGAGATTCTAACATCTGGTGTCTGGCTTTGTTGGTCATGCCCATGCACTAAATGAAGAATGCATGGACAGTGCTGTGTTCATTGAGGCATCAGCTGCTGAAGAATGCATTGTGAACAGATTCCTATTATGTGCATGTTTTGATTTAGCATTAAAATTCATCTCTCATTCTTTGCATTCCCCTGTTATACATATTTTTTTTTGCTCGTCAGGAAGTTGCAAGATTTAGGTCGCGATGATGCTGCAAAAATTCTGCTGAGAAGTGCACCTCTTTATCGCATTGTTCCAACCCCAGTACATCAAGATCCACCTAGTAATGGTTCACAGAACTCATGTTCTAATCTTTCACGATGATCATGTGACTTTTTATATGAATAGTGTAGCTTATTTACAAGCTATAACATCAGTAAACATGAAATGCAACGAATATGGTGAACTGTCGCTCAATATCCCTCCTACTTCATGTACCTAATTATCCAGCTTTATGCACTTAATGAAGTATGCTTTATGAAGTTATGGTTTTATATTGATTCAGCTACAACTGACTCTTTAAAAGAACTTTTGAAAAGAGCTACTCTAATGTCCATTTGAGTAGGAAAACAATGAGAAAAATTGATAAGATATAATTAATTCTTGTTTCCCGTCCTATGGCTGTGTGTCGTGTAGAAAAGTTACTACTTTGTAACAGTTACTTAGACTGGCATTTCTCATGCACAAAATATCAGACTGTGTTGTCTTTAGAGCAGAGATGAGCACACTTGACATTTGATGGGCCTTATGAAGAAACCTTTATATATTTGTGGACCAGACCAAAGAAGATATCTATATAAAATTGTATAAAGCCCTTGGATGTGTTATGTTATAGAAACTTTTGGTACATGTTCTTGATATACAGAATGTTCCATTTAAAATGCAATCCTAACTGCTACACTGCTTCACACACAAAATTACAAAACCAATTGAAATATTAAATTCTTGAAGCTGTTGCACTGCTTAAAATCAGTATGGCTGTTATTTCAGCTGTTTTGTTGCTCATTAAGCATTTGTCACAGACAAACACTTCCTGTGTCCTGAAAATTAGGTAACATTTGATGTATTGTCATATTTGGTACGTCATTTTTAGGATATGCGTTGCGAAATATTTCATGAAGTGCAGCAGATGATTTCAAGTGCAGTAGTATTTGAGAACAAATGCAGGTCCTGAATACACCATGTTTACAATTGAACAGCTTTTGTGTTACTTGTGTGAGCAGTGGCCTCGTAACCAGGGTGATCTTGACTTCTGGGAGAGGATAGGAGGGAGTATTACACAGGGGTGGACCTGCTTCTGATTTCATTTTTATATTACATTAATTATTTTTGGGTTGCATTTTAAACAGTACACTCTGTTTAACATTCCTTTTCTGGCTGGTTAAATTAAGGGTTGCAGTCATTTTATGTGCTGTAGTTTGACTATCCTTCCATTAACGATACTTTATCATGTGTTAGCAGACTAGATAATGTCATTTGGAAAGTTTAAAGTATCTTGAGTCATTGCTAGGAACATAGTTACTTAATAGAACATTGAGTCATTAGCATCAAATTTGTTCAATCCATACTTGGTGTATAATTGAATCAGCTGTTGGTAGCAGCACATAGAAGAACAGATTTTACGTTGTCTATTAAATGCACATTTTGGAGTGTTCAAAGTAATTACAAAGGAATATGTTGTAATTTTCTGGAGAAGGGGCAGATATGCTGATAAAATCCTTATGTACATGTATGGTGGGTATACCACATTATGTGTAAAGGGCAGCAGTCTCATCTCTTGTGTGCAAATGATTATATTTTATACTGCACAATTCACACACACACCATAATGCTTTCCATAAAGAATTGCTCATATGTTGCTATTGTGCCACTTCATTTTCATATGATATAATAAGAGAAGTGAGCCTTTATTCGAATTAGTAACAAATTACTATTCCATTTAACATATGCTTGTTTTTCAGGCATGCCATAATTTTGCCTTTTGTGCACAGTGTTTTTTATTCTATAAGACATACATGTTTCATGAGTGTAATATTTATTTTTTTCCCAAGCCTAATTGAACACTTGCCAGTAATCATGGTCAATTCAGTATAGCTTTAATTGTTATGTAATTTGTTGCTTGAGGTTATAATGTTGCTACTTATAAAATTAATTAAGTCAGTTAATGTTGTCCTATGTGTTGTGTGCTATGAAATGTATTCAAAGTGTTAATTTATTAAGTGATTTTGTGTTGCAATGTAATATTTGTTTTTCCATATTGTGTCTGTTAATAAGGCCTTTTGTATTGTACTTAAATTTTGAGGGAAATGTTTGCTATTTTACATTTAGCTGTCTAGTCACTTTGTGATATGGTGGTAGTTTGGAACATCTATGAATACATAAATGATGTGTACTTTACTTAAATGAGAAGAGGCTGTAAAATATGAATGTAAAGAAGCTTAATTTTTTATTCTTATATCAAAATTGTATAATTTTTGAAGCAGTTGGTATTTACTTCTTCAGTCCATTCACCTGAAAAAATCATATTTAATATCACTGTATTTTGCACTAATTTTTTTATATGTTACTGAATTAATTTTGTATTGATATTTGAACATTCCATTACTGAATTTAAACATGGTAAAAATACAACAACAACAACAACAAAAATACGAAGTGTATAACTAATAATGCAAAGTTTTATTATTTTAGTCCACTTCTTTGAAAAACCTTGTCCAGAAGTCTTTCCATTGTCTTATGTCATTGCTTGGGTCTCTAAGGCTGTATAATTGTGAGTGATTAACCCTTGATCTCAATTTTCTTTCAGTCTGGTTGGTTTTACTTTTTACAAGATGTTTCAGTGCTGCATGTTAGACCTAAACAAACTTATTATCATCCATTTAAGGTATAATATACCTGCAGTTTTTCTTTGTTGAAATTTGATGTTTTCCAGCATCAACTATGAATTAATGTGCATAGTAGTCCATTTTTAACATATGTTAGCATTTTAAGCCATGGTAGTTGTGCACAAATGCCCATCATTTTAGAGACCGCTTTCATCATCAGGGGAGTAATTCTCCTGATATGGCTTGTTGACAGAAGATATTATTATCAGCATGTATTTGCATGCGGAGCAAAAGGAATATATAATTAGTGAAAATTCTTGAGCAGTAATGTTAATCCTGAAGTAGTCATATGATTTCTTGAAGCCATATTTATGCAGTGTTAATCATAATAAAGTTAAGGCCAGGAACAGGTAGGGGTATAAGTCTATTAACAAGTGTGTCTAATTTTATCGACCGAGGACCGATACGGCCAATCCACTGCCGGTATGGATAGCAGTATTAAAACGACACGCACGACGCCATTGATATCAGTGGTCTTCGGAGAGGATTCTGTGACCTGTACATTGTAATCTGTGGTGATATGTGTTTCTGTAAGCGGTGGTGGCCTGGAATGTGTGTTTTATAAGCATTTTAAGATTAAGGTTAGCTTGTTAAAAGTACTCCCCAGAGTGGCATTTATAATTATGTGTAATTTTGGGATTTGAAAAGAGTTATATAATGCCCTGGATTATTTATATGATATTGATAAACTCCAGATAACGATTAATTTAGATAATATGACTGATGACTGGAGCGTTTGGAATGATCTCTCAAGTCTTCCAGCAGATCCTCCAAAAATGAGACTAATATGCAATAGGTGTAGGTAAGCGTTGCTAAGATCATATGTTTGCTTATAGATCAGAATATTTCTTTAGCAGTCGTGAATAAAATGTTACTCACATACAGGATGGTTAGGTTACTTTTCGAATGTACGTAATATGCATTTGCGTTTTTGAATTACTGTTTACGTATGGAAATTACACAAGAAAGCTGAAAACTCCTATTTCGATATATTTTAGGTTAAATACAATGAAAAGGGGAGTTGTAACGAGACCGGAGATCAACTTTGGTTTATTCAGATTAACTTGAATATGCCATTCCATGAAATGTTCTGGAATAATGAGATGGCAGTCTTCTGGGGTGTTGCGCCTTTAGTCTAGTAGAAAATGACCGACTTAACCGAGGTGCTTAATGCCTCCATAATTATGACCAAGTTGAAGTGGCTTGGAATGAAATGGTAGTTCACAATTTTATATCACACTTTTTCACATATTTGAAATCATATACATCAAGAATATTTTTGTTACATTAGTACTACATCTGCAATTATATTTTACTGTTTTATAATAATTTGCTGTTTCAGACGCCCAGCCAAAGTATGTTGGTGCACCTACCTTCCTGCTTCTCCACTGAATACACAGTGTCGTATAATTATTTTGCAGCATCCGGCAGAGCAGCGAAGATGTCTTGCCACAGTGCCAATGTTATCCCTTGGCCTTGCACCAGGAAGATGCCTTATTTTTCAAGGAAAAAAATTTCCACAAAGCAGGTAAGAACAGCAGATTTTGGTTAATATGCTGTCAGTAGCTTCTTTCGTGCTTCTCCACATTTTCTACATTATGCCTTTTCTAAACTGTAACATTTTCTAAGAAATTTACACCTGTTTTATGTCATACAGATATTATCCACAAACCCTTGACAGCAGTGGATTTGTCTGATATTTTTTCTTACAGGCATGAAGGGCTAGAAGAAATTTTGGAGTCTCCAAATTCTGTCCTTGTATATCCATCAAAGGATGCTGTGAATATAGAAGAATTGCCACCTGTGTCTGAAATAGAAGATCCGTACAATTTTATTCTGATCGATGGAACTTGGCCTCAGGCAAAGGCAATTTATCACAGTACTCCACTGTTACACAAACTGAGACAGGTACTACACTATTTTTAAAGAAATAAGTGTTAGAATATACTAGATGTCAAAGATGAAATTCACAGTGTTTCACTTGCATTTGTAGATATGGACTATTATCTGTTAACTTTTTCCCAGAAGAAATTAGCATTAAATGGACAAATGTTAAGCAAATCCAATCCAAGTGGCCACACAGTCTTCAGCCATCTATACATTGATATCAAGGGTTCAAATCTTATGTGGCACATGGATGTTTCACCATGTTTTTGCCATCCTATTGAGATAGAGGCTTTATAATGCATGGTTCATGCATCTGAGGAGTCGAGCTGCCTGTCTGAGTAGGATTTAGATAGCCTGTATTATTATAGGACTTATTCAAAATGTATTTGACAACACAAATTTTCAGTAAACTGTACAATATGACTGAGGCACTGTGGATCTGTTGTAACATCTGTCCTGCCAATGTTGACAAATGTAGGATGCCTTTCAGAATTAAGTAATAAAATAGCACCAAGGAAAATAGTATAAAATGACATTTACCTGATAGTCCATTTTTAAATCTAAGGCAGTAACTGACTACATTACAGTACTGATGTGTAATGAATAGCAAATGGCTGTTTGTAATTTTTGTGGGTTATGATGATGCATGTGTATTACAGAGTTGGTATCACATAATATGTTGATCAACATAATGACGGTTTTGTTAATCTTCTCTCTGAACCCTGGAGACTGATGAAGTGAAGACAAACACATTCTGTTTTTTATGTATGGAAATTTATTGCAAATTAACATTTATTTCTTTTGTTATTTATCAGATTAAGCTTGTAACGGGAAGTACAAGTGAGTATGTGATCCGCACGCAACCCACAGATGGCTGCCTGTCAACACTGGAGACAGCAGCAGAAACTTTAGCAGTGATAGAAAGAAATAATTATATAAAAAGTAAATTATTACAACCAATGTTAGCTCTTTGTGGCTTTCAGTTGGATCATGGAGCAGTTACACATCAGAGCACTGAGTATAGAATAAAACATGACACATATCCAAAGCAAATTGGCAAAAGACTTAGTAAGTTACTGAAGAAATGTTGAATAGTGGGAAGAAGTCTGATTCATTAAAAGATGTAAATTAGTTGATATGGGGAAGTTATCTGTTGAATCTTCTTTCCTTATTTTATACATAATAAAAGATGTTAATTATATTGATATATAAATAATGTGATGATTAATATAAAATTTTAAAAAAAATGTTTGTAAAATCAGTATGAACATCTCTGAATAACAAAATTCCACAAACAGTGTGTTTGAAATGTGGATTTTTCAACTAACCTTTATTGGTTATGTGTCACAGCTTAAAAGACACATGGTTCATTTGGCCATGTGTTACAGTAATGTTCTACTAAACTACTGAACTGTTAAACCTTGAAGTTAAAGTCTGTTAAATTCTCTTTTACATTATATTAAGGGTTAGCATTGCTTCTTCAGGACTTGAATTCTATTTCTAATTTAGTTTAGAAAAATGAACTCTTGAGTAATAACCCTATTACATTAAGCATAAGAGACGAAGGACTTGAATTCTATTTCTAATTTAGTCTAGAAAAATGAACTCTTGAGTAGTAACCCAATTACATTAAGCATAAGAGACGTTGTTGGTGGGGCTGGATTATAAAACCAAAAGTTGGCTGTTGTATTAACAGTGTACTCTGCAAGACACTGGTAATGTTCTCAAACAAATTCCTCAGTGTCACAGTAAGTCCTGATACTTCAGGTGGGAGGAAAGAAAATTTTCACAAATCATTTTTACTGATTTTCTCAAAAATGTGAAGAAATATGATTATACAGTTTACACATGAACATAAGGCTGAAATGAGAGTTTTACTAAATTACAAGTAATGTGTAATACAGGCTGTAAAGTAGCAATAATATTGTGTTTATATTTTTGGACTTTACCCTGGCACTGGCACTGGCAAAGCAGAGAAGGAATACAATTAGAGTAAGGAAAGGGACTGAAAAGAAAATCACATTTTTTAACTAAGTAGTTGAGCCTCTACAGGGCGAGTGAAAATTGTTCATATTAAAACTCGGTATGTTACAGGCATAAATAAATGTCCGTATTCATGGTTTTGCTTATTCATCCTGAGCTCCTAAAAATGTATTATGTATTTTATATAAAATGTTTTCTGTGTTGTTCCTTTGTGAATTTTGTGCAGCTTCTCAACATTTAACCTATATGTACAGTGTTATTGGCCACTTTTGTCTAGGCCTCATGTTCAGCAACATTTTATAAATTTAGTTTTTTTCCCTTTATTTTGTTGTGTGCTCCCATACCCTCCATTACTAGTAGATACAAAGGCAGATAGTGAAGGGAAAGGTCAGGAGCTGAGAGAGGGAAAAGAGAAGAAACAGTGAAACAAAGCGGAAAGGTTTGTGGCAGCAAAAAGTGTTAATGCCATAGAAGAAAATGCAAAATTGGTTGTTCATTCTGTTTTTTAAACTATGTAGCATTCAAGAACAAGAGAATGTGTGGATGGAAATTCTTGAAATTGGCACAGACCGTATGCCATAAGTTACTACTCTAAATTCATAATTTCTGCTTGTGTGAACATTTGAATCTCACCCAATTACACATAACCTAACTGAACATAACCTCACTCGTCTATTGGCTAATATTACTTTTACACATATCTTCAATAATTTGTATTGAAGTTACTGAAATTAATTTTGTAGGACACCTTGTTTAATATTTTTAATGACATTGTGTTTTTTACAGAATTGTTGACAATTTATTTTTAGGTATGAACTTTTTCAAACATAGTATGATATAACTGGATTTATTAAAGAGGAATAAAAATATGGAACATATTTGGAAGTATAACGTTTTTCAAATACATTTTACATTGCACTTTGAACTTTTTTTCATGAAGTAATGTCATTTTGACCTACGATGGCAATCATGAAAATTTGTTAGTGATGATGTTTTGTTCACACCGAAATTCTAATTATTTGTTTTGTTGGGCAAGGAAATGGCAGCGGTATCGTGATTTTTCTCCTTGACCACAAGAACCAACTTATTTAATCAGTTTGTAATATTTTGGTAATCCGTAGAAGGGATAAACGTAGTTTACGTAATTTTGATTTGTACGTAGTGATCCATGGTTTGTAGCAGAAATAACATCAACTTATCAGTTCGTGTTGGGTGCGGCACGATGGTGTGTGTTAATGGTGTTTAAATGTCAACTTGGTGAAAGTTATTTGTAAGGTATAAAGTGAACGAAAAGAATATGCTGTTATGACAGGAGGCTGTATCCCCGAGGAATTTCGAAGTCTCCATGAAGATAAGTTTGAAGTAACGTGAAAGATTGAGGTTAGGGTTGAAACACAACCATGCCTGCTTGTGACAACAGCGATGTTTTAGCGAGAAAACAACATATAAAATATTTTCAACGTTTCTTAAATCTTCTTCCGCGACGTTTATCCTCCTACGACTCTACAAGATTAACAATTGCTTTTTTTGCAATTTCTGGACTTGATATTTTAAATGCCTTGGATGTACTGGACGAGAAAAAGAAAAGACTCATTATTGATTGGATATATAGACTTCAAGTTGTTCCTGACGGTTCAGGTAAGAAAAATTGGAATATGCTGTAGAAGCATTGCAATTTAAATATGTATGTGCCCTAATGAAGCCAAGATATATGAGACTAATGTTTCACAAATGTATATATTTAAAATTACAAAGCGGCACAGTATTTTGCATTTTTAAGCCCAGAATTGTAAGTAAGATAGTTTCATTTTATTTGTATGAATATTTTGTTTCTAAGTTTGTATATGTTTCCATATTTTACCCTTTCTACAGAGCCATCTTGGAAAAGATGTGGATTTCAAGGCTCCAGCACATTAATCTTCCCACCAGATGAAACAAAATGCTCACCATTGTATGAATGTGGACATTTGGCTATGACATACACTGGTCTTGCTAGTTTGGTAATACTGGGTGATGATTTGTCCCGAGTTTATAGAGCAGCCATCATTGAAGGTGTAAAAGCTTTACAGCAAGAGGATGGCAGGTTAGTTATGATATGCAAATCGGACATGAATACCTGAATTTCTAGGATTTGACAAGCAGTTTTATGCCCGACAAGTGTTCAATTCAATTCAATTCAATTAATTTATTTACATGTTTGCCAACAGCAAGAAGCCAATAACAGGCACTATTAAGTAATTTTCATTCAGGTACTTGCATCTGTATCTGCAGTCAGTTCCTCATTCTTATCCTGAAGTTCACTATTTATAATACAAATAATGCTAGTGCTAGTGCATATATCAAGTATGTGTACCATAGGAATAATGGTTGATACCGAATGTATTTGATTGATTAACTTTTGTGTACATTTTGTTATATACATACCTAATTGGTATATATGTGCTGTTTTCTGTTGTATTGAACTGCTGAAGTGTGACACCAGTAGACAGTGCAAAATGTCAGATAAATGAGGCAGTAGACATCAATAAATTATTTCATGTTACAGTGAAAAATATTTATTCACAAAGTGGAATGTGCCTAAAATGAGGTTATGTCATATTTCAGTTAATTGTGAATTATTTTTCTAGTTTCTGTGCAACTCTTGCTGGCAGTGAGAGTGACATGAGATTTTTGTACTGTGCTGCTTGCATATGTTACATACTAAATGACTGGTCTGGTATGAATATAGAGAAGACCATGGATTACATTGTGAGAAGTATGGTAAGGAAAACATTTGATGTCTACAGATTTTTGTTGAGATTTGAGCTTCTTGTGGCAGTGAAGATGTTGATGTTCGTTATTCTGGGTTGTGACACTGTGTGGACTTGTATGTAGATACCAGCCTATTGGAGAAACACAGTCTCTATTTTCAGGGCTGAAGTTTGTTATGTCTCCATTTTCAGCCCTGAAGATGGAGACAGTATATTTCTGCAAAATGTTTGTGTTTTCCTACAAGTCCACACAGAAGACCAGCATTGACAACATTCTGTTTAGTTTGAGTTATGGTCGATTACTCAGTTGCTGGCTACAAGCTAGATTACTTCTTTTTATTCATCCAAACAAAGTCTGGGCCACTCTGACCCATACCAAGACTAAACTCAAATTTGCCACTTTTTACATAGGAGTCTCATGAAATGAGAAGCTACAGATGTAAAATAAAAAACACTTCTGTTTCAGTCATATGATTATGGCATAGCTCAGGCTCCTGAGTTGGAATCCCATGGAGGTACAACATTTTGTGCTGTAGCTACGTTGGCACTGATGAATCAACTAAACACTTGCTTTACAAATAAACAGGTAAGATGAAGATCATTAGTCATTACATGAACCTTGTTCTGGTACTATCTTTTTTGTTATAGTAGAGTCCTTTACAGATTTAAACCCCCTAGAGCAGGGCTTCACAACCTTTTTCGCTGGCATACCACTAATTCTAATGTAACACATTAAATGTACCACTAGCTAAATGCGTTCAGGGAAAACTTATTTATGTTAATATTATGTTTTGATTTTCTTACTTAGTTCGTGTACCACTCAACATTGGCTCGCGTATCACAGTGGTATGCGTACCATAGGTTGAGAAACGCTGCCTTAGAGTAAAATTTTAAAAAGATTAAATGCAATTCAATTTCTGTCATGTATTTTACATTATTATAAAATATTAACTCTTTTCTTTATTTTTCTGTAATCAAAATCAATAAAAAATTAAGTAATCAAAAAATAACTTATGCTATGAAGGATTAATCTACTGACTTCATGAATACCAATGCGATGTATGACCTTTGGAATTTACAGTGTAACAGTAGATGGCAGGGATATTGACAAAGAACAGTTTAGGCACATTGTCCCTGAAATGTTGGCATTTCAAGGTATGTTAAAAAATATGGCTGCAGAAACTTTTCTCATGGGGAAAATGTTTTGACTGCGGAAGTATTTAGTCTGTTTTATTCCATACCAGGTCTGAATATGTTCAGTATAACATTTCAGTATCCCATGACAAGTAGTGGGTGTTAGACATCCTTTTTGCTTTCTTTTTCAGTTAGATGGTTTAAGACGTTGGGGCCTTGCACGTCAGATCTCAGGTTTTCAGGGTAGACCAAACAAACCAGTGGATACTTGTTACTCTTTTTGGCTAGGAGCAGTTTTGAAGGTAAGATGAAACTTGGATGCTCTAAGTTATCCATTTATCTTGTTTAGGATGAAGATGGCCTCACTTTTCTTAGAGTTAAGGTTGAGAAAAATCATATTTATATTGGATCATATTCAGAGGATCCATGTTTTGATCAACATAAGGTAATTTTATGAGCATTTTATTGTAAGGAAGTCTTGCTGACAGGAAGTGGGAATTTAGAGCTGGTGGGTTGGCAGCATGAACTGGCATGAGGATGTGGGCAGGAAAGGGAGATTGCGAAGGTTATCAGCCACCACAAATTCAGATGAGAATCTGATTTGCTGTGAAATCATAAAGAATCTAGGAAGTACACACTAAAACATTATATAAGTAATCCATTTCAAAGAATTGCTAAGTCAGAGGCTCTGTGTAACATTTCATAACATGCTGTTTTTTTGTTTTGGGGAGTTATGCCCTTACTGGACCCCAAGGTGGAGAGCCCTGTCTTGTCAGCTGCCTGTGACCATTTACTATATTTTCAGCTACCATCCATATCAGGGGTCCTTCTTCTCCATCTGCAAGCCGAGGAAGATTTATTTTTGTTAATGCTTGGATTGTCTTCACTTCCTTCTGTCCCACTGGTAGTTTGTGTATGAATCAGCAGTTATTTTAGGTGTGGACTGACTCAGTAGAAGTAACCTGGGTATTATAGACTTGGGATCCTGACATAATGCAGTGTGGGGATCATAGGTTAATCTATCCAGGGGAGCAGCCAAGCATTTGTGTCTAGTGTCTGGTTTGAATAGTAACATAGCATTTTTCTGTGGAAAGTCTGGGATTACTTTTTTGTTGTTTAGTAGAACATTTCTATATTTTTTGATACTTTATTTCTTGTATTCATATGTCATTGTTTCTTGAAACTACATAATTGTACGGTACTTGTGGGTTATCGGGACACAAAATGGGGGAGTCAAATATCTATCATATTTAGCCGAGTTCATGTGACGGCGTACAAATGATAATGACAATATTTTTAAAACGATTCTAAAATCTATAAGCGAATTTTGGCCTCCGGAGACAGGTAGTAACAACAATTAACATCTCATGCATATCCAAATAATATATAATTATTTGTCATTTATTGAAATAAAATATAATAACTTTCAAATATATATCATTTATCCACACACATTAACCTAACCTAAGCTAACCTAACCTAACCTAACATAACCTATTTTTAAAGCGATGTGGCCCAATAACCCACAAGTACCATTCTTACTATGTAATTTTACAATGTGTCATAGTTATTTTCATATATTGTCCCAGTAACGTTCTTTGCTGTAATCTGAAAGTAGGCTTACAGCCATTAAAAATAAATGGAAGATTCTGCACATATTTCCTCATGCTCTGGCTAAAGAAAAAGCATGAGTTTAAAATAACTTATTCTTTGATATTTTCTGCAGATTCTTGGGGTGTTTGAAATGATTGATTACCAACAGAATAAGAACTTCATTCTTTCAACACAAGACTCCATTGTAGGTGGTTTATCTAAATGGGTTGATACGACACCAGATCCTTTACATACATATATGGGTGAGTTAAGGAGTACAGCATGCTTATTGTTATGTTGGAGAAATGGCAATGTAGCGTCATTTATTTATGTATGTATACTCAGGTGTGGCTCTTTTAAGATAAGCTAGTGTTGTACAACCTGCAATCCACTGTACTTTTATAGCTGATGAAAGTAAACAGTGTCTGCAGTAACCACTACTTCTGATGCCAAGTAATTGGCAGTTATGGTTATTTTCAAATAAGACTCTTAATTGTTATATTGCTCTTCTCTACCCTGAGGATGATACAGCATGTTTGATATCACATACATCATTCTTATACATTAATTTGACTTAAGATTTATCTAAAGGAACTCAATTAAAATACAATGATAATATTTTTTATGCTAGGTAATAAAATCAGGAAGAATACATTTCTTTGTTGAAATACAGGATTTTTAAATACATGAACTGCAGACAGACACGAAATATCAAGAAATTGTGTTACTTCATTTATTGCAGTACTGTTGAAATTAATCACTGACTTGTGCTTGTCATAACAGGCAGTAGAGCAAGAATTTTCAGAAATCTGCTGACAGCAGTTGGCATGCAGTTTCCAATGGTACTAGATATTCACAGTGCGCAAGGTCATGGCCAACTAACAATTATTTGTTTGCAGGTTTGTGTGGCTTAAGCTTAATGAAAATTGAAGGATTGTTAGAAGTACATCCTGCTCTGAATGTTAGTCAACGAGCCCATCAGCACCTTTACAAGTTACACAAAGTATGGGAGAACAATTAACCCCACAGAAAGATAATCGAGTAGTATATGCAACCAAAATATTGCAAGAAGATTTGTTAGTACCGAGCAATATTTCTTACATGCTAAAGAACTTAATTTTATATGAAAATGTATTTGAGCAAACTCTTATGTGCGTGTCAGAGCAGTTATGAAGATTTCATTGGACCTTATTAATCTGCTTGGCCCATTGGGTTGTTTATTCTTTGCTTTATCCTTATCCTCTACCTAGGTGGCAGGTCAAACTTTCCCAGCATTGCCACATAGCCGTCATGGTCAGCAGGGCCGTTGAGCTCCTGCACCCCATGAAGGCAATATAAAGGAAACAAGTTTGTACCTAAGCTGAAAGATCTTGGTTATCTCCTGTGGATGATTTTCATTGTCAGCGGGTTGTATGATTGGCCGTTGAATACTGTTGTGATACATAATTGGGAGTAGCTGTACTGAGGAGCCAATGGAATAGATATCTGAAAATTTGTGATATTGCACCATGTAGTGTGGTGTAGTCGGCACAGTAGTTTTTGCCCAGTGGAGAAGCTAGCGGACGGGCCTACTCTGTGTACCTGAGGTGGCACGGTCAGTGTATTTCTTTTGTTTGGGCGTTCAGTCCAATAAGCTCCTCGGTGCAGTCAGTATTATACTGTCGCACAAATGACTCGCTCCTAGCCTTCCCCTTGAAAATTCCACCGGCCAAAAACTACTGTGCTGACTATAGAAGTTTTCCAGTATTTAAAAGGTACTTACTTCTTCCATGATAACCCTGATGGAGGCAGCAACCACCTCTGAATCATCGATAAATATATACCAGACTACACAATTTAATATCCTGTAAGACAGTTGTCTTCATACTCTCTGTTACAAGAATGTAGTCTTAGAATAGGGAACTAATCTTACTTTGTCACCTGAAGACGAAAATAGAAGCCATTTCAAAGGTTGTGATTTTAATGAATGAAAGATGTTGGATGAGGTCTAAAAGAAAAATAGTCATATACATTGTGTGAACCCAAACGGCAGAAAACTTTAAACTTTGCAAAAATAACAAGGTTAATGCTTGATCACAGGAGCAAGGCTAAAGGAGTTTTTAAATTCCACATAGTATTTTGTATATATTCCAATTAAATAAGATTTTTCTGATCTTAATTTAGGTTTATGAGGTTTTACCGTAGTCACTCGTGGATCCTCTATCAGTAGTCCTTAAAGTGCAAAATACAGTACATATATTTTTAATAAAATTAGTTCTCAGAATTATTATTATAATTAGAGCATTAAACATGATGAACTATTTTCTTTTGTTTACTGTCAAGCTCATATCAATTTCTCTGCTGTATATGACACAATGTATATAATATTTTTAATAAAAGTTTTGTAAAAAACCAAAGCTCACTTTTAGGAGCAGTTAATGCAAATTTTGGAATATGCTAATGTATTTAACACAAGTATGAGAACTTGTTTGAAGCATAAAAGAAGAAAGTAAAGCACAAAGAGTTCAAAATGTTTATGTGGATAAATAAACTGCATACCCGTTGGTCATGTTGCAGTCATACCAGAAACATTTACACAATTATTAATAAAAATTGTATTTTCTAATTATTTCTCTCTAATCGTATGGGTATCTTTTTATGTGAATAAGGAAATGATACATATTCACTAGTACTACGGTTATGTTATATATGGTATGTGTATATATTTATGTCCTGTTGACTTTAAGAGACTGTCCTTTTGGTCTTTGCATTAATATTTACCGGCCATGCACTGCAACTTACATGCGATCCAGCTGGTCATGTGTCACAGTAATGTACCACTGAACCATTCAATCCTTTAGTTGTGGTCTGGCTCGCAGCGTGTTAGTTCAGGGGCTTAAATCTCCTATTGACCTTCATGTAATGCTCTGACTGCTGAGTTGCTTTTGATATGCCTTACATGATAGTACATTTGGAGAAGAATACATTATAAATTCATGGCAAAGAAAGATATCTTCATTATCTGCACAAAATAGAATTTGTATGATTTGAGGTTTTCACAGCGATGAGTATGAAGATTTCTGTCTTCAGGGTTGTTGCGCTGTGTAGTCTGGTCGATGCTAACCAACATTTCAGAGGTCATACTGCCTCCGTCATCATCGCCCTGATGACGGAGGTAGTATGCCCTCCGAAACGTTGCTAA